TATATTTACTGAGAAAAATGGTGACGTGTTCAATACTTATTTTACCCGCTGTATATATATTTATATTTATTTCTTTATACTTTTTTTGTGGGGGTGGGGTTTAGAGTAATTCCATTGGCTCCATTTGTTTTTCTTTTTTGTTGGATTTTATGGGACAGTTTTCAAAATTGCATTAGTTTTTAACTCTACACCTTCTCTCTAAATTGACAAAAACTGATTTCTGATTTCTCTTGTCAATAAATTAATAGAAGAAAATTATTTCCTTTGGAAAAAAATATTCTTATTCTATAAATGTTTAAACATCCAGACCTTATCTTAATTTAGATGTATGACATCAAGTCTACAATCATTGTCACCTTTCAACTGTTTTGAAACCTTCTTGGTGGTCTTTGTTGTTATTTTTACTGTTTTTATTCATGATTCAATGGAATTGATTCTTGCTCTATTTCTGTAATAAATTACAATAAAAGACAAAGCTGGTTCCTCAACTTTTAAGTATTTTGGCCTGATATCTTCAGTCCTTGATCCAATAAATTGTCTTTATAAAGTGTTTTTCTTTTTACAAGCAACCATGGACATTTCACAACAACAGGATTGTGTTTTCTAATTTGACTTAACAGACAGTTTTTATCATATAATGAGCCAATTAGGGGGATTTTACAGCCAGGGACCCGACAGGCCTGTCGGTGTTCCAATCCGAGGCTTCAAGCCTCCAAGTGTGTTTTATACCTCCCAATGGGGAGATGTTTTATTTTGAAGGAGAAACCAGATACGGCTTGAATTTTTCTGACTTGGACTGAAGCAGACACAAAGTTACCTGAAAATAACACCTGTTCGCCAATGACCAGTAAGCGAGCCGACAACAGTTCTCTGACTGATCGGAGGTGAGCCAGCTTTTCTACTTTGAGGGTGTCTTAAGAAGTCCTCATCAGGTAAAAGCTGATGTGTTCGGAGTGACGTGTACTGTGGACCTGAGTCGAGAAAAGTCGTGCAGTTCTAGTTGACTCACACTTTGGTAAAAGTAAAGTAGTAGAAACACTAACATTACTTTTCTCCTCTTTCTTATTTCTTTGATTTGCCAAAACTGGAGCTAAACGTGCCAGTAAAATTGTTTGGTTGTGTAACATCAGAACTGACATTTTTACTGTTCTATATAAGTAATCTGAGTAATGTGGACTGAAAGTCGGACGCGAGTTTTATCCCATTTATCTCTGATGCTTGTTATAGAAATAACCACAATCAAGTGTAACTTATGATCTGTTCAATTTGTGTAAATAAATGATTGCATAGTCTTTTATGAATCAACTTGAACTCGTCTGAACGTTCACTTATTGTGTCACTTTTCACTTCGCACAGTCAAGATATTAATGAGTAATGAGAAATACCTTGGGTACGGTGCGCAGCGCTGCGGCTTCTGAATAAATGAAAATGATTTAACACAGTTG